CTTCCCAGCGCAGCTGCAGCTCCAGCTGATGCTGGGCCCAACTGAGCCAGCCGGCAAGGCCAGGCAGCTCCTGGCTCTGCAGCCCCATGGACGGCTCCCTCCCTTCCATTCCCTTCTCCTGACCCCACTTCATCTCTTCCCCTTCCCCTGACAATAATAAACCTTGGCTTTCTCCCACTTATCTGCATCTTGGTGCATCTGGATGTGGTACTCACTAGACCATGGCACTAACGGTGGTGGTAGCGGATCAAGGGTTGTACTTGATGATCTCAGAGGTCCTTTCCAACCCATCTGATTCTGATTCTGTGATTCTAAGAACTGGAGAGCTGGAGGTGTTACAACCCAGCTGCCCATGTCTGGGCTGTGGTTGGTGTGTCCATGGCTGAGGTGCTCCACCATGTGTTAATGCTGCATTTTCATCTGTCCACAGATCCCTGCAGAAAAGCCTCTCCAGAGAGGAGTGCTCTGGGCTGGAGGATGACACAGTGTGCAGGGCAGGGGGTTCTGTCCTTTAGAAGTTTATTTACCTATAAAATTGCTTCCAACTTTTCCATAATTACAGGCTGTGGGTGTTGCCCAAGGCTGGGAATAAGTGAATTCCTTTAAATTCTTTTGTGGAGGAGGATAAGGGTGTCTGTCAGGGGAGAAGCTGATGGTGAGCCTGTGAAGATGTACCAACATTTGGGGGTCCCAAAACTGTGATTCATCCAATGTTGATTTGATCCCACCCTCTGCTCCCACCCCCAGCCTGGCTGTGCAGAACTGTTACCCTGGGGAGGGCAGGAGGGGGCTGGGAGTCAGGATAAACCCCTGGGATCCATCAGGAATTAACAGCACAGGGATTGTTCCAGGAGTCCAAGTTTTTAATTGTTTGTTTGAAGACAGTTTAAAACATGATTCCCCCCTTCCCCACAGCAGCAGGGCCCCTTCCTGTGCCCCGTGTCCCCTGGGAGCTGGGGCAGCCAAGGCAGCCCTGCCCTTGTCCGTGTCCCTCCACCCTCGGGGCTGCTCCAGGGGAGTTCCACAGGTGCGGACACGGCCGGGAACAGGCTCAAGCACTTTCAGTTACACCCTCAGGGCAGAATATCTGCTACCTAAGGTTCACAATTCAAGTTCCACAACATAAAAGAGTTCCAAAAAACCAAACTACAGCCAAGCAGAGAGTAGCGGCGCTTTAACATCTCGAGGTTTACGACAGTTGATCGACTGACAACGGACAGTTTCCCAATCCTGCTTCTCTGACCTTAAGCATTTGTGGCAAAACGTTAAGCTGTGGATTACGACAGGGCCTGCAGCCTAGACTAAAGCAACGCTCCATGGCCGTGGTGTGCTCGGCATTCCCTGCAGAGTCTCCAGCTCCTGGACTGGGGGCTCTTCAACACGTGTCTCCAGGGGCTCAGGGTGGCCTCACAGCTGCCTCAAGGTGCACCACCCCAGCACTGGTTCCAGCTTCAGCTCAGGCTACATCTCCACTTGCATTAAATACATTTATTGCAAACATCTCGACACAAAAATAGGTTCTCTCTAGGCCATTCACATGCAACGGAAAGGCGAGAAGCGACTACCTAGGACGACACAGAGGTTTAACCGACACACCTTTAATGTGGGGATCGTCCCCCCCGGGGCTGCCCCGGGGCTCAGGAGCCAGAGGTGTTGTTGCTGCCGAAGCGCTGGTTGACGCTGTGCAGCAGGTGCTTGGGGAGGCAGTTCCAGGAACTGGCCAGCATCTCCTTGAAGCAGATCACTGCCTCGAGGCACAGCCTGGGAGAGGGGAGACGGGGATGCTGTTACAGGGGGGATAAGGCTGCAAGGGAAGCTCGTTCCTTGGAGATGGTTCTCATCAGCAGTGCCAAACACTGTGCTGAGAGGAATCCCGCTCCATCCTCACCACTGGCTGCTGCTCTGGCAGCATTCCTTAGAGGAAGAAGTGTTTTCCAGGATTTTAGGAACATAAACAGGTCTGGTGGTAACCTTGCACCACCTGCCTTAAAATCCCAGAATGGTTTGGGTTGGAAAGGACCTTAAAGATCATCCAGTCCCACCCCCTGCCATGGGCAGGGACAACCTAGCCCAGGTTGCTCCAACCTGGCCTTGGACACTTCCAGGGATCCAGGGGCAGCCACAGCTTCTCTGGGCAACCTGTGCCAGAGCCTGCCCACCCTCACAGTAAGGAATTTCTTCCTGCCATCTAAGCTGGGGACACGAGAGTTTAATGTTGAAGTCTTGCTTTCTTACCTTACTAGAGATCTTGGTTGTAGGGAGAACACCAGGATTTCGTTACTGTGAGCCTGGGGGTGGGGTGGGGAGAGAGAGAGAGAGAGAGAGAGAGAGAGAGAGAGAAGAAATTGGGTTACATGGGTTTACAGTGTAACAGCAGGAGCCAACCCAGCCCAGGCTCACACACCCAGATCATGGAATCAAGGAATCTCAGAATGGTTTGGGTTGGAAGGGATCTTAAATCCCATCTCCTTCCAACCCCCTGCCATGGGCAGGGACACTTCCACTGGAGGAAGCCTGCAAGTGTCCAAGCCCTCAGGCATCTGCACTGAGGGACTCTGGACACGAGCAAACCACGTCCTCCTCACCTCTGTGATTCCCACAAGATCCCCCAGTGCCAACTACAGCCACCTCAGCTGGCTGGAGTGAGCTGGCACCAGGAAGGGAACGCTCCAGGTCAACTTACAGCTTTGGAGTGGGCGAGCAGGTTGTTGGCACAGCCCCCAAAGATAATCACCTCTCCCTCCTCGCTGGCACAGGCCGTGTGCCACAGCCTGCAAACAGAAGGCAGCACTGCATTAGCCCAAAAACCCAGCTCAGCCTTGTCACTGCCCTGGGAAGATCCCTCTTTATCCCCGGGAGCACCGCAAGCCAGGCCAGGAATCATCACCGCTTGAACTCATTAGCCTGGATCAGAGCACTTCCCAAACAAGATGGATCCCAGGAACTCCAAGATGTGTTTTCCATGCACATCACAGAGGTTTCGATGCTTTAAACTGCAGGTCATCAACTCCTATTTACTCAGCAGGAAGCCAAAACCATGGTGGGTGTGCAGGGGATGAGCCCCAGCTCAGTGACACCGGCCCGTGCCCGGTTTGCTGGGACAGCAGGGACACACTGGTTGCAGTTAGCTCTGGTGCTGGCAGTCACAGGCCTCTGCAGCCAAATCAAACCCTAAATCCCCAGATCAAACCCCAGATTCCATGTTTCCTGCCATTTCACAGCCAAATGTCTGCCATACCTTGGTTTTTCAGAGTAGTTATGCTCAAACTGGATCCACTCGTTCTTGCTGATACAGTAAATCCAAGCATCACCTGCAAACAAGCAAAGCCCCAAATATAAACAGGATTCTGTTGATTCTGTCACACTTCCTGCAATAACCACGCACTCCAGTGGAGCTCAGCCCATTTCTGTTCCCAAACAAATCAATTCTTTTAGGAAAAACCTTATAAAACATTGGCTCCTGGTTGACAACAGGTGTTTAATGTAACAGAGGTTCACGGGAGTGAAGATGGAGAACTGCAAAGCTCTTACTAACTGCAATTTGCATTAGATACACTTGTGGAGCAGATGATTTGCTATAAATAATAGTGCCTCCACGCACTCCACATCCTGCTCTGTGGAACGAGCTGCTGGCCACGAGGAGCTGCATCACAAGTGCACAGCAGGAATTCAGGAGGAATTCAAGCAGCAAGTCAAGCTTCTTGTGCACAGCTGTCCAAGAGCACAAAGACAACACCAAATCCCTTTGGAATGACTTACTCAGCGGCTGCTTGTCAGTGGTGAACCCTCCGAAGAGGAAGAGGTGATCCGAGGAAATCGGGGTTAAGGAATGCCACGAGCGGCCGACCGGGCACATGCCTTGAGTGAGTCTGGATTGCAATGAAAACACCCCAAGTTACACAGGAGGGACAGCGAAATCCCGTGGCTCTTTTCTGCCCTGGTTATTTTTCAGGGATCTGCAGGACTCAGCTTCGCCCTGTGCACCTGGCCCAACAAGTTTAATGTCTTTAGGCACAGCAAAGGATTTTAGTGGATCGAGTTTTAGTTTACCCACATTTCGTTCCACTCCCAGGTGTCCAGGTCCAGGTAGTAAAAGTCGTTCATTCTGGACTCCTACGACAAAGCAGATGGTGGTTCAGAGACTCAGCTTAGGTTTGAGGATCCCAGGGTTAAACTGGGCTGGGCTTACCCTGTATCTGCCTCCGAACACGTAACCTCTGTTCCCGACCGTGGCGCAGGCGTGAGCGGCTCGAGGGGACGGGGTTTTGCCCTGGGAAAGGAAACAGTGACATCACAAACCAAGGAGGGAAAAAGGCTCAGAGAAACTCAGATTTAAGGCCAACAAGGAACAGAGTGGAAAAAAAAAGCCAGCTGGTAAGTCATCCTGAGTGCTTTTTGATGGATGGAGGATCAGCAAACTCGTTAAAAACGGGGTTTATTTTTTTTCCCCTCTCAAAGTGTGTAAATTTTGCTTTTAGCCACAAAAGACAGACTGTAAATGAGACAGTGGCATAATAAATCATTATGTGCATAAATCATTAAGTGTCCAAGGCCAATGGGGATGGGGCTTGGAGCCACCTGAGATAGTGGAAAGGTGTCCTTGCCCACAGCAGGGGGTTGGAGCTGGATGGGCTTTAAGGTTCCTCCCAGCCCAAGCCATTCTGAGATTCTATGGTTCTATCAGATGTTTTTTTAATTGGGTTTCTGAAATCCTTGAGGACTGTGTGCAGTAGAACAAAGCAGTTCTTTGGCAGTCTGGGGTTACTTGCCTCAAATTTCATTTCCTCCAGCTCTGTGGCAATATCACCCCTTTTCCCCATTCCTGAACACTTCAGGGACACTTGAAATGTGTGTATTTGAAATTAGGAGTGTTTCATTCTATCCTGGCCACAACTCAGCACCCGAGTGACACGTCCCAAAGTCTCACATTGCAGTGAGGGTGATAGCAAACCACACACGTGGTTCTCCTGAGCTCCCCACCAGCACAAGGCCACTGAAGCGTGAAAGGAAGCAAGTCACAGGGAAAAAAATAAACAAGATGAAGACAGATCAAAATAAAAGGCAAATTTCCTGGTTTTGGAGAGTGGATCTGTGTAAATGAATGGTTTAAGTGGCTCCAGGAGCGCTGCTGGGTAACATTACTGAGCTGTGACTTAATTAATTGACACAAGAGCAGTGATTACCGTGGTTATAGGCTGGCTCCAAGTAAAGGTTTCAAGGTCCAGGACATGCACGTGGTCATTCCACCCTCTAGGAAGACCTGAATTCTTTGAAAATCACAAATAAGCAACAGGTTTTAATAAGCACTGATTCAATTTTAAAGTTGAAACAGGAATGACTTCCAGGGTTACCTACCCAAAAAGAAGTTTCATCGAATTCAAACGTTCCCCGTTGCTTCCCTTCGGGAAAATAGCCATAACCTCCAAAAAATATCAGCCTGAAAGAAAACGTGGACCAAGATCTATGAGGAACCCTGTCACATCTGTTGGGTGTGAATTAAAAGTTCTGTAAAGGCTGGGCTCAAACAGGAGAATCAGAGAAGCTCCTTTGGCTTCACCACTTTCGGTGCATTCACAGTGCAAGTTTTCCAGGCGTGGGGCCCCATTTCTTGCCTAATCGATCCCACCACCCACACTAAATCCCTCTGGAGCTGCTTCCCAGGCCCCAGGCTTCCAAGCTTTGCTCCAATTCCAAATATAGGGAAGCCACCAGGGTGTGCTGCCTGGGCTCTGCACTTCAGCCTTGGCCAGCAGGGCTCCCACAAGGCTCCTCCTGGTGTTAAAATGGGATTTATCTCCAAGTTTGATCTCTGGGTTTAAGCCTCTATAGGGAACCAATGGCATGGCTTTGCCAGGAATTCCTAAGGGATTATGGAGTGACTGAAAACAATCTGCACCACCTAATTAAACACCCACAGCTCAGATTTACATCTGAACTGATCACATCAGGTATGGTAATGGTGAGTTCTCTCCCACACCAACAACCTGAAAACCAGCACCATGGGCAATTCCAGGGAATCACAGGATAGCCTGGGTTGGAAGGGACACGCAAGAATTTTCCTGTCTTTCCTGAGCCTCTGCAGCAAACTCCACAGCAATTATCCCAGCTGTGAGCTCTCTCTCCATGGAATGGCCAAAGCAGCACAAGCTGCTCTAGAGTTTACTCCGAAATCACCACAAAAGCACAAAATGGTTTGGGCTGGAGGGACCTCAAAGCCCATCCTTTTCCACCCCCTGCCATGGGCAGGGACACCTCCCACCAGCCCAGGTTGCTCCAAGCCCCATCCAGCCTGGCCTTGGACACTTCCAGGGATCCAGGGGCAGCCACAGCTTCTCTGCCCAACCTGTGCCAGGGCCTGCCCACCCTCCCAGCCAGCAATTCCTTCCCAATATCCCATCTCTCCCTGCCCTCTGGCAGTGGGAAGCCATTCCCTGTGTCCTGTCCCTCCATCCAAGTCCCTCTCCAGCTCTCCTGGAGCCCCTTTAGGCCCTGGAAGCAGAGCCAAGACAGGAGCTGGAGAGACGGAAAGGGAGTCCCTGGGGGGCCCTTACTTGTTCTTGTAGACCCACACCCCGAGCTTGTCCTTGGACGAGGGGGGCACCCCCTCACACTCCACTCGCACCCACTGCAGCACCTTGTCCGTGGATCTGGAATTCAGCATGTAGAACTGGAGGAAAAAACAAAATAATAATAAAAAAAAAGATTTGTTCAATCTTTTCACTTTCTTTCAATCTGAGTTTGTTCAAAGCTTCAGTCCCACGGGTGTTAAAACCGTAACTTTTAATTAACGTGCACTGGCAAAGGAAGAGGAATAATGAAAAGTCCTTTCCTTCGCTGAAAACATTTTGGAACAAAATCTGGATTCACAAATCCTCTACCCTTTGCAGACTCAAACGCTTTTTACACAAGTAGCAGGTTATAAACATCGAGTTTCACCATCCAAAAGCTGACATGGGGTACACTGAAGGTGTGCACAGAGTAACAACTGTCTCATAATTTAAAAAATGGTTAAAAAAATCAAAAAAGCAGGGGTTTTTTTATAGTATTGTCCCTTCTCTGCACGTTGCATCCTTTTACAGGGAGAGAAATAGCTGCTACACAGGCATAAAGGAACTGAAATGTAAGAATGCCAGAGCAGGAAGGAAGTCACACTTTATAAAGGCAGTTTGTTTCACACTGTCTGCAAAAACTGCACCGAGCTCCTTCCAGTTTATAGTGATACATTCTAATATATAAGTCTATATTTAAATATATAACTCTCTATTTCAATATGTGAACTATATATTCCAATATAAAAACTATATATTTATACAGGCCCGAACTATTTAATTTAAGGCACATTGCCACAACGTCAGAAAATATTATTAATTAATTGTAGCTGACAGGGTGGGGATTGGTCACAGGTTGGACTCGATGACCTTGGAGATCATTTCCAACCTTAATGGTTCTGGGATTATCAGAGACTCCAGAGAAAAGAGAAACATTTAAACCCCCCCAGAGCAGTTCCAGATCAACTCCTGATATCATTTCAGGCACCTCTGGCCTGAAATTCCCATCCTTCCAAAGCAGCAAACTCAGGAGGCGCGGGGTGAATTTACAGGGTGAATTGCACAAGAACAGAACAGATGCCAGGTCAGGGTGTTCCTGTAAAGCTTCCAGGGGCACAATCCCCCATGGGAAATGATGGAATAAATGGATTGCTGACCTTGTTTGTGTTGCCCTGTGCGTGGTGCCCTCCGAAGAGATACACCACCCTGTCCACACACACGGCACAGCTGCCAGACATGGAGGGGGGAACATCGCCCTCTGTTTTGCTCTTCTTCCTAAAAGAAGGGTGGAAAATATCTCACCTGATCAAAACAGACATGAATGGTTTTATCTGGGGGGGGGGAATTTTATATCACTGCCAAGTGTGGTTGGAGTTCCAGCTGTGGACTCAGTTATGAATTCTTCACACCTCTGCAGGTGAAACCATTTACAAAATCAAGCTGGTATAGGATGGAGGGGGTGGGGAAAATGTAATTTAACTAATACTTTTTTTTTTTTTTTTTTTTGGGGGTGGGGAGGATGGTGGGAATCCTGTCTGCCCAGCTCAGGAGTTTGGAACCTTCCAAATCCTCAGGCACAGAGGAAGCACCTGTCCAAACTGCAGGTTTCTATTCTGCTACTGGATTTTTCCTGTTTGTAAACATCACAACCACAAAGAGGAGCTTCCAGCCCGTATCCAAGGCTGTCCCCAACCTCAGGGAGGGCTGGAAGCACGGCTGAAATCCCACTTTCTGCAAAGCCCTGCAGAGTTTCTTTGGCTGCATCAGTGTTTAAAAACAACTCCTTAAGAGAACAACAAGTTAGAAAACTCAGCAGGGGTTCCCTGAGCACCACTGCCACCGAAAGCGGTGCAAATACAATTCCCACGTGCTATATCCTATCCCAGGCATCCCAGAACACTTCACCCTGGTGATCACACACCCCTGTCCGGGCTGCCTGTCCAAGCTGCCTCTCCTGCTTCACTCTGGGAGAACATATTTGATGTTTACACAACAGTTTTGATGTTTTGCAACAGTTTGATAGGTGGGAACGAAGAGTTCAGGGAGTTCTTTCCCTGCTCAGCCCCTCAGAATGGTTTCTATACCAACTTAAGGAATTATCTGATTATTTTCCCAAATGAAGTTAATTATTTACTGTACCATCTTCCAGTTTCCATGTTGTAGATCCATATTTCATCCCTAGGCAGGTAGAAGTCATAAAATCCCCGAACTTGGGCATTCTGCAGAACAGGACAGAGGAGGAAAAGCAACCTTAGAAGGATGTTTGACACATGGAATTACAGACTCCTGGGAATGCTCACACCTCCTCAGAGATCTAATCACAGGACAGAACAGCAGGAGCAGTGCCTGCTGCACTCCTGGGCCTCCCACCTGCACAGAGAACAGGAATCAGCCTAATTTAGTGTCTGCTGGAGGCCACACAAGCTCCCAGGCGGGCAGATGGGAGTTAAACCTCTGTTTTACAGCCCAAGGCGGGGAGCAGAAACGAGCCAAAGCTTCCTTCTTAATTCCCCCACCCCCCTGCAGCACGACACCAATTCACGACTGAGCTCACTGACAACTCACCTCGCTGTCAAAGCTGTAAAATCATTCTGTGCTGCAGCACACGCGCCCCCCCAGCGTGACAGCCACCAGCCCGGGATCCTGCACACCCGACACACAGCTGCGCTGACAACGCTGGGACAAAGCCACCCCTCCCACGGGGTCCAATCCCAACCACACAATATTCCCTGCACGAGCTGCCAAACAACACCCTGCCCCCCCCACACCCCCCCAAAAATCCTCTGCGTGCCAAGGTTTAACCCTCGTGATTTATTTCGGCGTTGCAAAACACCCCAGTGCCACGTTCCAATCTGTTAACTGGAGGGGGGGTGACTTCTTGAGAGTCGCTCCCAAGTCAGGGTCATCATTCCAGGGGGAGCTGTACCTTGTATCCTCCCCAGACGTACATGCAGCGCCCGTCGGTGACGGCCACGTGCCCGCTGCGCTCGGCGGGGCTGTCGTTCTCCAGCTGCTCGAAGCCGTCCTCGGCTGGGGCCGGGAGCTCCTCGTCCGCCTGCAGCTCCTCGTTCTCCTGCAGCTCCTCGTTCTCATCCGCCATCTCGGGACGTGCTGCGGGCACACAGAACCCACAGGGGTTACGGGGAATGTGCCGGGAGGGACCTGCACGGATCGCCCAGGCCGGCTCTGAAAGGGAATGGCCCTGGCTCCGGCTGCCGGTTCGAGCCAAGGTCTGCGTTTTCGAAAGAAAATTAAAATCTTACCCGTAAGAATCTTAAAAATTAAGAATTAGAAATTTCTAAAAAAATTAAAATCTTACCTATAAATACGTTATTGATTTGCCCAGGGAAGCTGGGGCTGCCCCTGGATCCCTGGAAGTGTCCAAGGCCAGGCTGGACGGGGCTTGGAGCACCCTGGGCTGGTGGAAGGTGTCCCTGCCCATGGCGGGGGTGGGACTGGACGGGCTTTAAGGTCCCTTCCACCCCAAACCGTTCTGGGATGTCAAAAACTGAACAAATTTGACAGCTTTGCCTCCAATGTGGTTTTCACAAAAGTGGAAACTCACGGACCTTTCCCAGCAAAGTCCCTTTGGGCCCAAAGTCCCCAGCTGAGCCTCCCACACACAAACCTTCCCACAGCTGTTCGGTGCAGGACACGCCACCTGTCCCACATAAAATTCCACGAAATCAACCTCCCTGCTCCCAATCCCACCAGCACGCCGAATTCCCAAACCCCAGTGTCCCTGGAAGACGCTGATCCAAAGCCCAAGTTTGTGCAACCAAAGCCTGGGAAAAATGTCCTTTAGCGGCACCACCACACTCTGCACTCCCGGGTTTGACATTCCAGGTCAGATATCCCGGGTCTGATACTCCAGGTCGGATATCCCGGGTCTGATATTCCCCTACACCGCTCCTGAGGGACTCTTGTTTAATTTTAATTGCTCCTACGATTAACCCACCACCTTCGGGGGTGGTTATCTCTGAGCTTTAATGACGCTTCACATCAGAAAGCTCTGCCCCACAGCTCCGTGAGACCAGCGCCTCTCCTCACGGAGATAATTTATATAACGTATTTTATATGAGGTGCATTACTGATGTTACCCCTCAGACACGCCGGGCCACGTCCCCTTCAGCCATCTCCGAGCCCCCCTCAGGTCGCTGCAGCCCCACACCCCGACGGGACGGCGGGGTCTCCTCCCGACACCACCTCCCGCTGTCGCGACATACCCCACTCAGAACGCTTCGGGCCAGGCGGGGGCTCCTCCCGACACGTCCCCCTGTCGCGACATGCCCGGCCCCAGCGCTGCCCGTTACCGGCCCGGCCCGAGCCCGCCCCGCGCCCCGGCTCCCTCAGCGCCCCCGGCCCGCTCCTACCGCGGTGTGGGGGCTTCCCCGAGCCCCCCGGCCCCTCCGCAGCTCCGGGGCTGCCTCTCCGCGGCCGCTCCTCCCCCGCGGCCGCCCCGCAACATCCGCCGGCCCGGCCCGGCCCGGCCTGCCCCTTCCGGCGGCGCCGCGCAGGCGTCGGGACCCCGAACCGGCCTGGGGACACCCGAAACCAATCCGGATGGGCACCTGAGCCTCCCGAAATCACCCTGAGGGCACCCGGGCCCCCCCCAAACCAATCCGGATGGGCACCTGAGCCTCCCGAAATCACCCTGAGGGCACCCGGGCCCCCCCAAACCAATCCGGATGGGCACCTGAGCCTCCCAAAATCACCCTGGGGGCACCCGGGCCCCCCCAAACCAATCCGGATGGGCACCTGAGCCTCCCAAAATCACCCTGAGGGCACCCGGGCCCTCCAAAACTAACATGGATGGGCACACGAAGGCCCCAGAATTAACCTTAGGGGCACCTGAACCTTCCAAAATTAACCGGAGGGGCACCTGAGATCCCAGTATTGATCATGGAGGGGACCTGAACCCCCCCCAATTAATCTTGGGGGCACCTGGACCCCCCAAAATTAACTCTGATGGGTACCTGAACCCCCCAAAGTTAACAGTGGGGAGCACCTGAACCCCTAAAAATCAAATCTTAGGGGGCACGTGAACCCCCCAAAATTAACCATGGGAGTCTCCCAAATTAACTGGGGGCGGGGGAGGGGGCATCTGAACCCCCAAAATCAAAGCTTACAGGACACCTGAACCTCCCAAATCAAACCTTAGGGGTGGGGATTACCTGAACACACCCCAAAAAGAGGGAAGTTTAAGAAACAACCTTACAGCTCTGTTACAAAACCCAGTCACAAAACTTCCCTCTTTGATACAAAATTGCTTCCAAATATCCTTTCCCCGAGTAATGAAGTTTTACAGATTGTAAAAACGTCAAAAAAATTGTCAAAATGGATCTGGTTTCAACTCTCTATAAAATTTTAATGACTGTGCTCCTGTTAACTAAATATCTGAAACAGAAAAATAGCCTGTACTACGTTTGCTCTTTGTAAACAATAAATAAGCAACTTTTTTTTTTTGTGTGTGTGTTTTTTTGTTTTTTTTTTTTTAAACAAGAATGAAATATAAACTTTACACATCCAAAATACAATATACAACTTATTTCCAAAAGGACTTGGTGATGACAGAAACAGTAAAACCAGGTGGGGAGCAGAAGGTTTCCTACACGACACCAGGTCACGCTGCTCGCTGCAGGTTTTGCTTCAAGTTCCGCGGTTCCCTTACGGATTTTCCTCCTTGGAGCACGAGGTGGGGCTCCGTTGTTTGAGTGGATGATGAGAGGAGAGGCTGGTGGAATCAAACAATAAGATCTGGTGGTGCTCCTGAATTTGTTACCTTTTAAGACTGCCGAGTGTGGATCTCCACCGGGTCACTGCGTTGAACCAATTTAGGCTGATGTGATAAGGCTGGAGGAAGGTTTTTGACTTTAAGCCGTGTTTTTATCCAACTGAAAACGTTTTGTATCGTGTCCCCTTCCAACAGAACAAGGTGGATGGACTGTCTCCTTCAGACCACAACAGAAATGAACAATATATACAAATGAAGTCGCATCCGTTTCCCACGCGCAGAAAACAAGAGAGACTTCCCATAAAAAGGATTTCTTTTGTTCTCAAACTTCACTTAGAAACTCAGTTTAACACACAGTTGCTCTGGAACAGCAGTAACAAAACACTTGGAGGTGTCCCAGGGTATCCCTGCCCTTGCTCATGTGGCGTTGAGCTGACTTTGTCTCTCGGTCTCGGCTTTCCTCTCCTGCCGGTGGGTCACTGCGGCCCAGAAGGTGATTTTCTTCAGCACCTCCTGCAGAAGTTTGGGTGGCAGGCAGGGAATCTGGTTCCTCAAGAGAGCTGCATTCTTCCCAATGCAGTCAAGACACAGCCTGAAGAAGGAAAACAGGAAAAAAAAAAAATGTTTAGGTAAATGGTGTGTAATCTGAAGACAAAGTGACGGCTTATTAAAGGTGGTGTTGTGCATTAATTACGGATGTTGTGGGTGCACGTGCAGGAGAATTACTCACCAGCAGGGATTAAACTGCTGTGGATCATCACACATGGCATGGTTCAAGTATTTACTGAGGAGGTAATGGGGTATTTTACCTGCCTGTGCAGGAGCACGTGGCTAAAATAACCCTTGAGTCTGGTGGAAGGTGTCCCTGCCCACGGCAGGGGGTGGAACTGGATGGTCCTTAAGGTCCCTCCCAACCCAAACCAGTCTGGGATTCAGGGATTCCGCAACCACAACTCACCTGAGGAGGGAATAAGGCTGAGTCTGAAATATCAACAAGTCACTGCAGTGACCCTGATCAAGAGAAAAAAAAGAACCATTAAAATGGCAAAGTTTATCTCAGCAATAGTGCTGCTTTCTAGATTAATGTCCCATTAATTGCCACATGCAGGATTTAAAACTGACAATACCTAAATAACTATTTATGAAGAATCTGAATTACAAATCCCTTTTTATTCCATCAGCCAAGAAAGCTTCAGGTGGGGATTCCTCAGTGGTGAATAATTTTTAATGGTTGCAGTTACCAATTTGAGCCAATGTCTCAATCTGTTTGTTTGTTTTTAATTTAAATCCCATCTCTAAATACATTAATTGATTTGCTCAGAAGGTTGTGGACTCCCCATCCCTGGAAGTGTCCAAGGCCAGGTTGGATGGGGCTTGGAGAAACCTGGGCTAGTAGAAGATGTCCCTACCCATGGCAGGGGGTGGAACCGAGTGAGCTTTTAGGTTCTTTCCAACCCAAACCATTCCATAACTCTATAATTTTATATCAATTATGATTATTCTAATGATAGGATTTATTATCCAGTTTACTGACTGTGTCCATGAAAAGCAGGTCATCTTTGCTCCCACCAAACACCATCACTTCTCCTTCTTTTCCCAGGCAGGCTGTGTGCCAGAGTCTAGAAATGAAATCATAAATGCAATTTATGGTTGTTAAGTTGTGTGTTATCAGCAAGACAAAGACATTATTTCAGAACTCTTCAGAGGTAAAAAATAGTAGCTTAAAATATATTACTCATTAGTTTAACAGTGTAAAAGGAGAGAGCAATGTGACTATCCATCTCATGAGAATTATTTGCAGGCAGACCAATATATTTTGTCATTACTTGACCCTTCTGTACTCTGGTTACAGAAACTTGGTCTTATTTATCACTACAGTGGAAATTTTTTTAGACAAAAATATAACTCTACAATCAAAGCTTTGGCCAAGGGTGGCTTTTCTTTTCCATTTTAAATTTCCCACTATTTCTTTGCTCCAGAAGTACAATTCCAGTGGCTTTCAGCCCGTGGGGTTCTCAGTAGTGCCCTGGATCCCTGAGCACTGAGAACAGCAGTTATCCTGTTTCAGTCTTACACCTGTCCCAAGGATTCCTGGGGATCAGTTCCTGTGAGTTAGTCAAACCACACCAGGTTTGTGTTGTGCACATAAAAATACAGGATATAAAAGAGACCCCCCAAACCCCCAACCTGATTTTATAATCAAAGATTCTGCAGCCACACCTTGCTAGGTTTATTTTTGTATTATTAGCAAGATCAAAACCTTTTAATTTTTCTGCTGGTCTCTCACCAGTGAATGTCACAGGATGATCCCCACAGAGCTCTGCCCTTTAGAGCTACTGAACCAAAAGAAACTTTCATGCAAAAGTCAACGTTCCCACTTTCTTACTCCATTCACATCCTTAGGCTAAACTGTATCCCACCTTTTCCCTTCCTCCTACCTGTGGATAGATCTGTCTCTGCCTGATCTGCATTAGGGAAAGTCTGGCCTGGACTTGGTCACGAAGAACAGTGGGAAGCCTTTCCTGCCTGGACTCTGCTGCCATCCTATCTGGCTTTTCCTACAGCCTGACAAGAGTTTCTGTCCTCCCACGGCTGCTCTAACTTAGCACCTAAACATTCTGACAGAGCACGTTATTGAAATCACACACAGCTCTCACAGCTACAGTAACAGCAGGAAAACACTGGGAATGCAGGAGTGAGACAGGGCTTTGTTCTCTGTTTTAACCCAGCATGCAAAAACGTTGGCTGAAGTGCAACTGCTGGACAGAAAGAAGAACAGTGGTTTTTTTCTACCAGTACAGAATCACCTGGGAAGACAAGTTTTTTTTTTTTTTTTTTAGAAATTACTAAAATTGAAGGTTGAAGGGAATTATTCTCTACAGAATTTAGGGAGGGAATCAAACTTGCAGAAGCATCTGGAAAAGACACTAATGAAATGTGTGGTATACTGGGTATTATCATAAAATAATAGAAATATATATTATAAAAGTACACACATGTGGATTATTGCCCCTGTATTTTAAATCTGAGGAACAACTGAACTGACTTAAACCTTTTCCAGCTGCAGAGATCCTGCAGCAGTCCTGGAGACAATTATGGTACAAGGAAGTACTTCACACTCAAAGCTGTTCACTACACAGACAGGCTTTTGGTGTGGCTCCTTTTATCCCTGCTTCCTGGAGCCACTCCAAATCCACCTGCACGTGTTCCTGCGTCACCTGCTCCAGGTGGCCCTGCCTTGGCAGGGAGGTTGGACTGGAGGAGCTCCAGAGGGCCCTTCCCAGCCCAGCTATTCTGTGACTTCCTGAGAAAGGTTAATGAAGTTTTTGGGGTTGTTTGAGGAGGGCAGGTCCTTTCCTTCCATAAAGAGCTGGGTCAGGGAAAGGTCCTCAACCTCCAACCCAAAATCCTCAGGTGGTGGAGAAGCACGGGCCACGTTTGGAATTGAGGGAGCTCCGAGAGTCCTGCCAGGATGGGATCCAAAGGCTCTGCTCTCCCAGGACGGGCTGGGCCGTGTGTGCACAGCAGCTCCCATTTGTATCCCACCGTGGGATCTGCTCTGGAATCACCTGGGAACCACCTGGGGCTCAGGAGTCACTGGTTCCCACCATCCAGCCCCTCTGCCAAGCCAGGCACAGATGTCACTGCAGCTTTGCTGCAGGGGAGAGGCTGAGCTGCAGCTCCTGTACAAACAGCACATTCCAGCCCTTCCTGCTCCTTTTCCACGATCCCCAGTGAAATTAAGGACACAGGGAAGGCTGGAAACCAGCCACGTGTAAAGGACTGAACACACATCCTTGGCTGGGCTTTATTTAAGGCAGCCATCAGCCCCTTCATCCAGCAGCTCACTAATCCTAAAAGGAAAATATCCTATGGATTAAGGTTGGTCATTTGGCCTCGAAAGAGTCTGAAGCACAAAAAAAGCAGAAAACTTGGTCTAGCTGTGGCTGTTATGTTTAAAGGACACCCTAGAATAGGATAAAACAGGCAGAAAGTTAAATGAGGTAAAGATATTTCAGCAGCAGGACACAAGGTAGGAATCATACAAATGCCAGACCAGAACTGTACACATTTGTATCATGAAAGAATAACAGAAAATTGTGCTGAAAGTTCCTGGGTGGATGTAGAGAATTAATTCCACGAAAACCTGAATATTTACTACCTACAGCAAATCAGTTCAATAGTAATTCTCTTCTAAAAAGACATATTGCTTCAAACACTGCGTTAACAAACAAGGTGTTTTACTTTTGAACCCTGAAAGATGCATCAACTTTTTCATGGTCCTCTCCTCCTCTGTCTCTAATAACATATCAACATTAATCAACTTTTGTTATTTTCCTGAGTCATTAATTCCTCAAAGGTATTTCCTTACAAAACAATAATTTGGCTGTAGAAAACCAGGTTAGTTGGGACACCCAGATCCTTCACCACAAAAACATCTTTCAGTGCAACAAATCTAGAAACTCAAAAGGCTGTATCGGGCCTGAAGGGAAATCAGGCATCCAAGCAGACTATTCAATCATACTGCATTCATTTTCTAAAATATTCATATAATGCCACTTAAAAACACTGTTCAAGTGATTTAAAAATCAGTTAATTTTTAAAATGCCTGCATTTCAGCACACATGGGCTGTGTGTGTATACCTAGGCCTACTCTTAGGCAAGTGGGTGAGTTGTTTCCATCCGTTTGTTGTAATGCTGTGGATCCAGCCATCACCTGCAAAGCAAGAACATGCATTAGGGCCTTTTTTGGGGGCCAAAAATCACCTTTTTTTTTTTTATTTACACAAACAGCTCTGTGTTCTAAGAACATGTTATATTCAGGTAGCAGTAACATCATCGCTACATTAACCTGCACCTTCTCACTCTTTGTAATTTAACTGAACACACTGAAATCTGAAATCAAGATACACTTGATTTCTTTTCTTTTTGATAAACTGAGAAAAATCACCCCCTCGCAGTGGATTTATCTGTGAAACTTAAAATTACTTTCAGTAATTTCACGGTCTTTTCATGAAAACAAGTTACCTTCTCTAAAAAAAAAAAAAAAAAAGGAACTCATAGAAGACCATCCCACTTCCTATTTCCCATTTTTCACTGTGATCTGAACAGAATAGAATGATAACCTCTAAATTACTTACTTAAAGGAACATTATCAGAACTTAGTCCACCAAAAAGGAAAAGTCTGTCATCTCCTATGGGAGTCAACGTGTGCCAGGAGCGATCCTTTGGTTTCTCTCCACTGATATTAATCCTTGGTGGAACAAAGAGACAAGAAAAGAAAAAACAAATTTGCAAAGAATGCTGGAAATTAATTTGGCAGAAAATTTCTTAGTTTGTCCCAGAATAAGCTTGGATATTTTCCCAGGGAAAAAGCAAAGACAGCAAAGACTAAATAATAAAATCAACTGCACATTCACGCAGGTCAAGAGTTAACTGTGATTAAATTTAATGAATCCTCTCCAGTCCTGGGAAGATGACTGTAAATGATCCAAGCATTCCAAAAGCTACCACCTCTTCAACCACTGCAACACAGAGGTGGTCACCCACATTTGGAGGTAAATGTTAGCAAGAAGAGGGGGTTTCCTGAGTACAAAACAGATGTGGGGTTATTCTTGCCAAAATCAGGGTAGGGGCAGCTAAAATAAACCCTGCAATCTCCTGCTGGATGATATTCCTGGATTAGTAGGTTTATATGATGCAATTCCTTAAGAAACCTGTGTAGAGTTGAGTAAGAAACAAACTTGACTGGTTAGTGGGGCTTTAAATAGAACCACTATTGCCTTTGGAGCTTTTCTGCTCTGGTTTTACAGTGTTTGTGTGGGGAGTCATGGCACTTATGGAACAAAATTCTCTGTATTCTGATCATCCCTTACAAATGCCTGGTTTTTAACACCATTGCTGATTTTAGTGTGCAACCAGAAATAACTTTTCAAACAATTTGTGCAAAAACTGACTGTACACTGGAGTAAAAAATATAAATACTGATTTGACATTGTCCTGAAAGATACACTGATTTTTTTTTCTCTCCTTTTGTGATCAGGAGATGAAATAAATAATGAATAAATATGGACACTTTATACCTCCACCTGTGAGGTGCCACCACAGCAGCAGACACTGTGAAAAGGCTCTTTTTTCCCCCCTAATATCTTAAAATCTCTTTTTTCAGTTCTCCCAAAGACTCTTTGCAGAGGTGCTAGAATGGCTGGATAGGAGGCTCTTAAATTTACAGTGATCCAAGGCTACACTAAATCATGGGAGCCTTTCTTGGATCACAACAAAGAAATAACTGAGTTTTTTGGAGAAATGTTCAGTTTTTAGGGTTTCATGGTCTTTTGTGACAGAGACCCTTCCCCAGTCTGTGCTGTAAATACCCAACTACAGATCCTAAAAACAGCATCACAAAAGACATCAGGCCTGAAACTCCATCTGGATAAATGCACCCATCTTGAAAATGAGGCTGGTAAATCACTACATGCTGTGCCTGAAACAGCATCATCAGTGCTTTGGTGCAGAACAGAAAAAGCTCAGTAACCGCTCCCAAATGAAATTAAATGAGAATCACGATACAGCAGCTGTTAAAATAGTCCCCAGACTCTCATTCTCCTCCTGGAAAAGCTACAGGATTAGCTCTGGATCTGTTTAACAATATGTTTCAATCCGCTACATTCAGTTTTTTAAGTGTTAGAGGGAGGGGAAAAACTCACCTTCCAGACCAAGTCCAAGTGTCTAAATTGAGGCAGTGCAAATCATTCATTCTGGTTTGCTGAAACAAAGAAATGAAATCCCACTTGTGTTATATTAAGCAAACAAAGGAGCAAAGTATTTCAGTGAGGCCTTCCTGGGACAGAACATTACAAGGAACAATATTTGGAAGAAATCTGTACCCATGCGCCTTAATATAAATGTGTTTTCTGTGGCAGATGAAAAGCATTTCTTTAAAAAAAAAAAAAACACAACTAAAAAAACCACAAAACATGCAGCTCTCAGGAAACTGCCTGTCAGGAATGCTTGCAGTCATGCAATGGCACTATGGGGCCAATTTTAGCTTTTAGCAGTGAAGAACTGTGTGGTATTTATTCAGTTCCTGCAAATGTATTTTAACTTCCATCCACAGAATTCACGGGAGGTAAATGCACAAAGTATTCTACTCTGAGTTGTCCTGATCAGAACTCTGTATCCTCCTGCCTTCCTTCCTTGGAATATCCTGGCAGCACTCAGTGCATCCCACAAAAAAGTCCATCACATCAGTGGTTTTCTCTCTTCCCCTATCCCAAAGTTACTCCCAGCAACGACAAGGTTTTGTGAGCCTTTAGGTGATAAAATGGGAAATCAATCCCTGCGTGCCTGTGATGTGAGATGGAGAGGTGACTGACTGCCTTGGGGCTGGGGGAGAGGATAACAGGAATTTCTCTGCTTTAGGTCATTGTCAACGACTCCCAGCGCGCTCCACTGACACCTGCAGTTCCCCTGGGCTACAAAAAATATCTGGGAAGTAGGGAAATGGATCTTGCCTTACCTTCCAACTCCTTCTCTCCTAGGGCAGTCCATAGATCTATTAGAATAAGCCTTTCTCCAGCTGGCAGATCCTCTGAGGCAGAAACCAGGCTGCTCATGTAAGTCAGGACAGGAGGAGTTTTACCCCTGAGAGCTCAGCCAGGGAGGGAGAGTGAGAGTGAGAGACTTCCAAAGCTGTCCAGCAGAGCTATGGGAAGTCTCTCAGGGGTTTCAGGAAACAGCCAGGTTTTTCGGGATAGCTACGGCCTCCTCTGACCAGGTACTGTGCTGTCCTGGAGAAGGGAATGCCAACCCCAATCCTGGGAGGCCTTCAGGGAGGGCACCAGGCTACAGAAAAGCAGAACCTGAGAAACTTTCTCCCTCAAAAGGGGTGAATGTAACAACCCAGTGTGGTCCAGCTGACAGCCAGTGCAACAGATCTGTCCTCCACGACAAGTCTATCCAGTTTCCTGCTCCTTCTGGTGGCTATGAAGGAGATGAGGAACAAATCATCCCAGCAGAAAGCAAAATGCAGTTGGTCTCTTCTGTGCACAACTCGGGGCAGGCTGGGCAAAGCCCAACTCTCTGGCCTCTACAACTGAAAAATATTTAATCATCTCGGAACAACACAATTTGATATGAAGGGCATCTATCAAAGAGAGGGAGGGAAGTTGCTGTTTTGTTGGAAATTTAGGTTTCAAGAAGATCCTGTTCAAGACCTTCTCGCTGACTTTCCTTTCCTAGGCATTGGGCAGAAGATGGAGAAGTGTCCAGTTTCCTGGTCCCTGGGAAATCAATGTATTATATAATCTTTACATTCTCATGATTCAACAGCTTGACAGATGCATAATTACAGCAACCTCCTCTGGAATTCAAAACACCATCAGCTGGACAATTCTGCCCAAGATTCAGTCCTTTAACAAAGCCTTTCTACCCAGCCCTTATTTGGGAACTGGAAAGCACACAGGTTTACAGCATCACCACTCGCCATACACAGTTCTCTTGCAGTTTCTCATGTATTTCTAATTGGTATCTACAGTATTTAATCATTCTGACAATCCTAAAATGATCCTTAATTGGCTTTAAAGCACCAAGCCTCCTAAGAGGGTTTGCATTTCCCTTGGAGCTACAAGGACTCCTGAGACATTCTGCTTATCCCTGGCATGTTCATTTATTTGCAGCCCAGTAAACATTAACCAGGATCTGCTTTGTCTCAGGATTAACTTTCCAGCAGGATGAAAGGCATTAAGGGTGGCATTATTCTCAGCTCACTGCTCTCACAGTGAATTCTGCACCTCTGCACTCTGGAATTACAACCAAACAGCTACTCCAGCTCCAATTTTTGGCAAGAGAAGGACTGTAGCTCGATGGATCTTCAGTGACAGGGAATACAAAACATGCTTACATTAAGGCATCAGATGTGTGAAGAGCTGCTGGAAAGACTTTGGTTTGTTACCTCATTCTTTACATGAAAATTTGCCACTTAAAATCAAACACAAGACTTGCATCAACTTTTGGACTAACTCTCCTTCCTTCCCACTGTCTCCCATTTCTGTTTTTCCAGGGGCTTACCTGAAGGAACAGAGTCCACATAACACTTCTGAGCCTGCTTTCAAATGATGCCTGGTACAATTGATTTTGATCATCATCATCATCATCATCATCATCTTCTTTTACCAGTTCTAGCTCCAACTTTGGAAAAAGGTGCCCTTTCCTCCCCGAAAGATGAATAGGAGAAGCCTCATGACACTTCCTGGCCCTTTCTGGTTCCTTGTAGAGCCTTTTCCCTGGGAAGATTTGTATTATGGTGAACTAGAAGGAGAAGGAGGAGCAGAGCAACCCCGTATTTGCTCCTTAATTTATGGAGAAAAGCAAGACTTCATCCTTTGGGGAGGAGTTACTCCTGTTGTCAGGAAATGCAGAGGGGTTTTGATGTCTTTAGCTTTCTTGGTTTGTGATTTACATTAATTCCTCAAGCCCCACTGGATGTTCTCTAACCTTTCTGAGTTTCCTTCCATTTATTGCTGGGATAGAAAGTGAATCAATAACAATCACTGAGGTGAAAATTACACCTCCTGCTCTCCCACAGAATTAAACACAGCTTTCCACAATTCCACTCTGACACGGTTCCCAAGTGGTTTCACTGCAATTTAGCCTGTTTTTAAGGAAGCTGATGCTACAGGAGGAGGACAAAAACCTTTTCAGACCAGAGCCTTCTGAATCCTGTGGCCAGACAGAGTTAAACAGAAGCCCGAGGGCAAATCCTCCGAGGGCAGATCTACTCATGCACCAGCACGGTGGAGAAATGACAGGTGAGCTGCAGCTACATCATAATAATAATAATAATAATTCCCCTTGCAGAGGCTGCAGGAAATCCCAGCTGGAGTTGCAGGGCAGTTGAGTGGCACAGTGCAGAACCCTGAGCCCTCAGTGCTGGCCTCACCCTGAGGGCACGAGGCTCTGGAGGCCGAGGAGGTGACCAGGAGTGAATGAGAGGGCAGAAGGTCCCGAAGCTGCACATTTAATTCTTCACATCTGGGTTCCTTTCCCTCCCAGGCCTGTGGGCTCCCTAAACGAGCAGCAGGGTTTGGCTGTGGTTCAGCAGCTCAGGGCAGAGCAATTCCATGGCAGAGGCTCCCTCAGCCAGGCATGGGCAACCCAGACACACAACACTTGGTCACTTTTCAATCTCTTCCAAAATATTTTTAGTTCCTGGAGTTATTTGCAAACCAACTTTGTCCAAACCTACAGCCCTGGAAGCTGCTGAGGGCACCTCTCTCAGGCAGAGGTGGGGCTTGAGCAACAATCCCAGAGATCCTGAGCCTGTACCAAAGGCCACATAATGGCGAGAACAAACAGGATCCATTTTGGTTACTTTCTTTCCTGTTTGCTCTAAAAAGGTGCTTAATCAATAAACTTTTCAAACTGGAAACTGGTTGGACACGTGTGACATTTCTACAGGAGTAGAAACCACCGGTAACAGAGCTGCAGACATGTCCTGGGAACAACATTATGGCAGGAAAAACAGGGAATAGGGAATAAAGGGCAATTTTCCACTCCTTTGTTTGCCAGTTCTTGGGATACAGGGGTTAGGCTATGGCAGCTTTCCAAGATGAAGTTGGCACATGTTCCCTGTAGGGCATTTCTAAACAGCTAATTCCTTCTTCTCTACAAAAACTGGGGCTTTCCAAAGCTTCTTCACTGCTACTTTTCAGAGGAGCAGAGACAGAAAACATCCAGTCTCATCCTCTAGTTGAGCAGCATGAAAGGCTCTAAAGCAGCTGTAGTTAAAAGAGCCAAAAACTTAAATTAACCCCCCCAAGAGTCACTTTAAGAGTGACTTAAACTGGGAGGGTTTTTTCTTGCCTTACAGAATCTGTTCCTTACATTAAAGCTTCAGCAGAGAAGAACTGAAGAGAAAATCTCCTCTGGCCAGTACCAGAGAAATTAAATAGAAGTTAAAAAGAGTCAGGAAGAGTTAAGGTTATACAGCCACAATCCAGCCCTAATTTAAATATGCACTGATTGCATCCTACACAGGCAGCTCTTTGACTGTCACCTCTTCTAGACATCTGTGTTTCAGTCACTTATGGGCAAAAAAAATGACAAAAGGTTGAATTATAAAGCCAACTCAGATCTGTTATTTACCAGTCACCTGTGTTTTCCCTTTTTGGGACTGTATCTGCTTCATCATTAATATTAAAGGCAGAAAGACTCTTCTTTTTGTAGAGGGTGATGACAAGCAGCATCCTGAATTCAGAGCCCTCAATATCCAGGTTAGGCCAAGACATTTTGGAATTTTTTTTTTTTCCTGCTATAAAGTGATTTTTTTATAAAAGAAAAACAAAAACCAAAACAGCCAAGAAAATAACATCACTGCCAAGAAAATGTTCAATTACCAGCACTCGTCCTCCAAAGATGTAACCTTTGTTTCCCAGCACAGCACAGGTGTGAGCTGCTCGAGGCTGAGGGGGATCTCCACCCTGAAAGAACCAAAACAAGACCCTTCAGAACACCCTCCAACCTCCTGGACAGCTTGATTTTTCCAAGGGGAAAACCACCAGGAACTGGCACTAAAATCCCTGGAAATCACACCTTAAAATCTGATTTTACAGCCACGTGCCAAAAGTCTTCCCTGTGTAACTCAGAAATAAAAGAGCAAAACTGGCTTTTACTTAGCAATGGGAATTTTCTTTTTTTTTAATTTTTTTTTGCATTTAGTTTACAGGAATTTTAGAACAGACCATAAAATCCTGTCAGACCTTCTTTACAACATACAACTCACTACTGAGTTCTTATGTAAACTCACCTGGATTTTATGAACCTTTATGGAATGTTCGAGTACAATGTCAGTAATTCCGGAATATCCCAGTGCCTTGTCTTTCCAGTTCTGGCTCACTGACAGGAATTTCACATTCCCAACAGCTGGATTAAAGCCTGAGCTTTATCTCAAAACTAACCCCCAGATATTCAATGCTTTATCACCCTCCAATTTACCCAGATTTCTAACACCTCCCTGAAATTTAGGAGAATTTTTGCACCAGAACCAGACCACGGAACAAACATCAGTTTAAAAACATCCCATGGGGAAAAAAAATTCCTATCAGTTGTGAATTTCCCACATTCCAGAGACATGGAGCGTCCTGTTTAATGTTATAAGCCTGAGCAATGTCAAGCATCTCCAAATTACTTTTCCCACCCTCAATTTCTAGAGCACAGTAACTACTCAAAACACACTGAAATCAGGGTTGTGTCAAGAGATGAGATTAAAACAACACTCACCCTAATTGCTGGTTGAGACCAAGTCTGTGTGGTTGTATCAAAAACATGAACATCATTATGCCAGCCCCAGAATATCTGTCCTTCCTAAAAAGAAAAAAAAAAAAAAGAACAAAAAAAGGGTTAAAAATCAAAAATAAGTGTATTTTATTTCAAAACCTTTGTGCTTATTGAAGGATATAAACCCAAAAGTGATCTGTCAAACCAGAAAATAAACTAAAGTACAGAATTTTCTTAAAAAATACGTTAATAATTTTAATGCAGCAGCTCAGATCTAGTTGAAGGTCATCAGCACCCTGGGACGTTAAGGCTGATGACACCTGAAAATGGGTTTTATGCTCCAACATCACTCACTGCACAGGACAAATTGTACCTTCTGATTTTTCATTGTAACACACTGAGAAATAATTGTACAAAGGAATTTCTGCCAGGAAATTTGATGTCAGGATCTACGTTCCCTTTAACACACATTTATTTCTTATTAATTCATGTCACTAAATACTCTGACCAGTCTCCTCCTTTCTATTAAGTGTAACAAATTCTCATGGGAAAATTTTGCAATATATTTGTAATACATCTTTCTGGATGACAAAGTAAATAAATTAACTGAGATTATCCGTCAGTTAGGACTTGGGAAGCTACAAATTCCCTAAGGTTACTCCTGAGAAATCAATTCTAAAATTCCCTGGGAGTTTCAGCTTTAAAATATGTCTTCAGATTAAAACAGGGCTTTCTTTGTCCCAGGATTTTGTTTTGTTGCACTCAAAGCCCAGCACTGGGGATTTGGAATATGTGGAGCACCCACCGCTCCCAACATGCAATATCTGGAATTTCACATCTTGGCAGGTTCCAATCTGCATTTCTGCTGATGCTACAAATAGAGAGGAAAATCAGACAGATTTTCATACCCTTTGAGTAGAGGATGAAGGATCTTTTCCCCTGACAATCAGAAAGGACAAGGCTCTTACCCAAAACGCATCATGGACGTCGAAACAGTCGCTCAGTTCATTGTGCTTCCTGCAGCCATAGCCACCAAAATATATCAGCCTGAAAGAACAACCAAAGAAGTTCATTCAGCAAACAGCTTTCAAATCAACGAGCTGTAATAATAACTAATTTCAAATTTTGGGTTAGCTACTGCAATTATTACAGTAATGTTCAAATACCTGTAATTTCCCCACCTCTTGCAGTTCAGTTAGAACTGCAAAACCAAGAGACAGTACCCAGAGCAATCCTACAGCTCAAGGGCAACATCTGCAGATGTGGAGTCCACACACAGAAAAATCCTTTCCATTTGAAAATGTTCCCTGTAAATCATGTTCCTCCTTGTTTATAACAATAACAAACCTCTGGCACTGCACTCTTGTGACCACTCATGGCACAATATCCAGGCCCTTCCCATAATAAACACAAAACCTGGAGTGTTTATTTCTAGCCAAGTTGTTTTTTTTTTTCCTAAACACACTCACTTTTATGAAACAGATATCTGGGCTGCCTCAGTCCTCACAAAAATAAAGATGATCATCCCTGAAATGCCTTTGCAATTGTCAGCTGTTAAAACCCTTGAAAAATACATTAAATACATTTTATTGCAGGTAACAATTACACTGATTGATACAACAAAAAGCAATTTTATACTGCTTTGTAATGTATTCAACTTTATTGTGTTAAAACCATAAATAATAGAGGCATCATGATTTTTTTACCTGAAGTCTCGAAGCATTCCACAAACTTCCCCTAAACTTCCCACTCCTCTCCCAAAGTGGGTTTTTACTTCCCAGGAATTCTCATATGCGAGAAAACTCCCACACAAAATCCCACGGCCAGGCAAGCTAAGAAGGAGAGTTCCCTGAATCCCAAACCTGGGCTCTCTTCACTTTGTAGCCCTTCCTCTCAGCAATTAACACACATTAAATATTCTCCATGTGTTACCTGTCCTTATAGACCCAGCAGGAAAGTTTGTCACGTGGGGTAGGAGGTTGACCTTTAAAATTCGTGATCTTTTTCCATCTGTAGGTTCCGGTTTTTGTTCTCAAATTGACATAATAGAGCTTAAGAAAAAAAAAAAAAAAGAAATTACAATGTTTTCAGTATAAAGGATATCAAAGAATCCAGCAGAAATCACCAATACAAAGAATAACCCACCTCCCCCAAAACTCACTAGTTTGAATTAAAAGAAAAAGAAAAAAAAGGAACTTTTGGGTAGTGGAGTTTACAATATGTAGCAACACATATTTATCACAAAAACACAGAATGTAAGAATTGGCAACAAGTTTTCCTGCCTGATGAGAGGCTCCATTTTACTTCTTTTCCAGTCAGGAGTGACCTCTGACTTCATTCTCATTAAATGATAAAAAAACCTGATTTCATCGACTCTGCTAATTCAGCCTTCAGTTACAAGGACAGAGCTGGTAGCTCTGTTTTACCTTTAATTATTACCTGATTATACAAGGTAATCACTATCAGAGAGCACAAATAAAAGTGATATTCTGGGATTAGTCTCATTCATGGCTGTCAAAATATTTTGTTTAAAAAAAGCAATTGGGAAAGCACAGGCAGTTCTAAGAAATAAATGCAGAAAGTTCTGCACAAATGAAGTTTTCCCTCCAATTTCTCCTTAACTGCAACTCAAAGCACACCCCACAAGCAGCAAGGTAAGCGTTATTAGTCACTCAAATAAAATGTTGTGGGATAAAAACGAGCACAATACCCGATTACTGTATCCTTTATCATCGAATCCCCCAAAAATGTACAGTTTCCCATTGATGCTGGCCCCACAGCTCCCTGACATGGAGGTGGGCAGCTCCCCTTCCATCAGGTGCATTGTCCTGCAATATAAAAAAAAAAAAAATACATTAAGACCTCTCAAAGCCACTAAAAAATAACAATTCCCAACCCAGATTTATTAATAATATTTAGACTTCAAGGTAAAAATACATTTAGGCCATGAGCAGCACTAGGAAGTGCTGATGAAGGCAGGCTCCTGCAGTGCAAGAGAACTTCCAGGTGAATATTGTGTGTGCTTACAAAGCACCTTGATTTTTCTGGAGGTGAAATTCATGTTAAAAGAGCTTTAGCAGAGCTGAAACATTGATTATTCAAAAAAGGGCAACACTATTAAATCCAAAACCTCGTGACATGGGAACATGGCACTGTTGTCATTTTGCAAATGGAACACTGAGGCAGAAGTAGGAACACTTCTCCATTAGCACAGGGAACAGGGAGCCAGGGACTTCAGGGAAAAAGATGGGGAAAACAAAGAAAAAAGGGGGAAAAATGGGAGGAAGGGGGAAAAAAACAGAGAGAAAGAGGAAAAGGAGCAAGAAGGGGGCAAAATTAAAAAGGGGAGAAGAGAAAAAAGGGGAATTTCTGAGTTATTTTTGAGTATTATGCAATTAAGTAATGACAAAAAATGTATGTAACTGTAGGTAGATGAAGAACCCAAGTACCCAGTGTTCAACTGTTCATTCCAACATAGAAGTTTCTGTGTGAAGAACTGAGCCAAAACAAACTCCCCAACAAATGCACCTGTTTCAACAGAGCCTTCAGCCAACCATTCCAAACATTCCCTCGAACATCATAATTAGACTTCAGGAATGAATGTGTTTCCTGGAGTTAATTTGCAAGCACACAGGTCTGCTCTTCAGTCTTTACATTAAAACATCTGCTATTTAAACTCAGGGAACGTGGCCAGTAACTCATGTCACTGAAGCCTTTTCACTGCAGCTAATTGTCATCTATGCACAGATCAGCTTTATACGTTCATTAAATATAAATTATGGAACTTGCCATAACCCACTGTCCATTTCATAGATCCAGAGCTCATCATTAGGCAGATAAACTTCATTTTCTTCAATTGACTAAAATGAAAGAGAAATGTGCAAATGTTAAATCAATTATGCCTCACACACCATACATTTTAAGATTAAATGCCCAAATCAGGTTACTAAGCAACATAGGATAATCTTAAGGAAATAATCTACCAGAGCATAAGTCATTACTGCTCTGATCATCCCCATTTTAAAACTAATTTATTTGAAAAAAATAAAGAACTTAATTCCTCACGACCACTCATTAAAGGCACAGACTGACCAACTTAACAATTTGCCAAAAAAGATGTGTAACAACAAAAACCAGATCTGGAGGTCCTCAACTAAAACTCATTATCTTTTGTTTTGGGAGATACTTTTAATTAAGAGGCAATTCTTGGCATAATGGAGAAGTGTAGAATAAAAAAACCAGAATATAAAAAGTGGAACTGAAAGGCACCAAAAGTTACTCACAGTGGCTGAAAGAAGGAACTTGAAAGAACGAAATGTCAAATATAAAGGAGAAAAATTAATTTCTCCGTGGACAAAAACAAAGACTCCTCAACAGAGGTCATTAACAGAAAAAAAAAAAAAAACAATTTAGGAAATAATGATGAGGAAGAACAACAAACAGGAGAAGGAAGCCCAAAAGCATTCAGTGCTCATGCTGAGTAACAGCTACACCATTAATTATTGCCTTGGCATTAGAGAGGAATTAAAGACTGGGAGGGAATAAGCAGCCAGAGCCAGTAAATAAACAAATAAATCAAAATCGGATCAAAGTTAAAGGAACGTGAAGAAGTTAAATACAAAACTGAAATTTAATTTTCAACAATTTGGTTACAGATATTGATCACTTTACTATGACTTTCTCAGTTTGAAAGGTGCCAACCTCCTATTTTTGGCACGTTGACCCTGCCAGTTCCCTTTCCTTGGGAAGGCTCCGCTGTTCCTCACTCCTGGCAGCTTCAGCAACGTGCAGAACTTGACTCAGTTTAATCTGGGTATGTCAGAGGTCGAGCATTTGCTCCAGAACCTGCTCTGAGCAAATGCACTGATGCCAAAAATAAGTTTGCTGGGCAGCAGTGCACCAACAACACGTTAAAAATGGTTTAGCTGTGTAAAGTGCTGCTTAAAGAGCAAGGGTTTTCCTAATATTCTCAACAAAGAAATACGTAATGTTACTAAAAACATTTGCAAAGTTTTTCTGCTGAGCTTAACACACATTGTCTGTTTTGAATGTGCCACAAACCCACAGTTTTTTACAAGAAAACCTTTGAAAACATTGTGCTCACCAGTCCAGCCTCAGTGTTAAAGACCAGAGCACAGAAGACTAACAAGAATTACCAGTGATTTAAGTGATATTTACAGTTATTCAGAGTATTATGGAGTTTAAATCCAGGAAATCCCAATTAGAATTCTTTGCTAGATTGTGGCAGGACAAGCTTTGCCCGTTTGAAAGCTGCCCACGAAAAACATAGGTAGAATATTAAATATGTTAATAGAAATACAGTTTCCACCCCATAAAGACAATAATACAAAGCACAGGTATTTTCACATTTTATGGCCAATGTGCACAGACACTGTAGATAAAACGAAGGGGCTGTATTTAATGTAGTAGAATTTAGTGCAGGTGAATTCATGGAGCTAAAAGACAAGGATTTACTCCTGGCAGGACCAGAACTGATCTTCCAATGGAAAATAAATAAAACATGTGGCTTTTTGCCGGCCACCAGCTTGAGGTGACCGTCACTTTGCGGTGACCAGCAGCGCTTTGTGAGGGAGGGAAACACGCTGGATACACAACTACTAGTAAACAAAACAAACAAAAAAAATTGCGGGGACTCGGGAACAAGAACGCGAATTACTCAGAGTGGAAGACGAGCGGCACAAATTACAGCCGTCACCGCGCCGAGGGGCACGGCGGGACCGCGCGGCGGGAGCGGACGGGAAGGGAGGCAAAACCGGCCCCACCGGCCCTTCCCCGCACGTGCCGGGTGCCGGGGGCGGCCGAAGGAGGACGCCGCTCACGGAGCCCGGGCGCGGGGAAGGGGCCGAGGGCCGGGACTGCCCGGGCAGCCCCCGCCGTTCCCGCCCGGCCCCTCAGCCCTCAGCGCCTCCCGCCGCCGCCGCTCGAAGCGCGCGCGGCCGCCGCGGCCAATCAGAGCCCGCCGAGCGCCGTGAGGGGCGGCGGGGGGACCCCCCCCCCCACCTCACCCTGCCCCGCCCGGGGCTCCCGGCGCTGCCGCCCCGCTCCCGCTGCCCCCGCCCGGCCCCCGCGCCCCCCGCACGCCTTACCACGTATCCCCCCCACACGTAGAGAAAGTTCCCGTCCACCACGGCGCAGTGGCCGCTGCGCTCCTCGGCCACGCAGAACTGCTCCGCGGGGTCCGCCGCCATCTTAGGGGAGGAGGGCGAGGAGGAGGAGGAGGAGGAGGAGGAAGGGGAAGGGGAGGAAGCGGAGGAAGCGGCCCGGCTGCCTCACGGTTCGGCTGCCTCACGGCTCGCGTCCCGCCACCGCCTCCTCCGGGAGAAGCTCCGGCTCCGCCGCCGGTCGCTCCCCTCAGGCGGACGGGAAGCGAGGAGGGTCCAAAGTGTGGGGCGGCACCCGCCGCTCAGCCCCGCCGCGGGTCCGGAGCGCGGCGCTGCCCCTGCCCTGGGCATCGGGGACCGGGGGAGGGCTGGGGCTTAATAAAGCCTCCGGGAGGATGTGAGTAAAGACCACGAGAGGAGGAAAAGGGCAGCGAGAATAGGAGGGATAAACATAAACCCCAGAGTAAGAAGGGAAAGAAGGGTTAGGTCTCAACCTGAGTCAGGACAAGGGAGAATGGCTTCGCGCTGACAGAGTAGGGTTAGGTGAGATATTGGGAAGGAATTGCTGGCTGGGAGGGTGGGCAGGCCCTGGCACAGGTTGCCCAGAGAAGCTGTGGCTGCCCCTGGATCCCTGGAAGTGTCCAAGGCCAGGTTGGACGGGGCTTGGAGCACCATGGGACAGTTGAAGGTGTCTCTGCCCGTGGCAGGGGGTGGAATTGGATGAGCTTTAAGGTCCCTTCCAACCCAAACCATTCCCCATCGAATTCCTGCTGAACTGTGGAATTAATGGAATCCAAAATAAAACAGGTACAGTGCTTCAGAAAGTAGTAGAGTTGAGCTTGTGAGAAATGACTTCTTTAGCATCTTGTGAAAGGGCACCAAAACATTACTGTAAAGATTTTCTTGTGGAAGTGGGGTATGTACATCTTCAGTTGGATCTAGGAGGGAAGACTAATTTTTGCTGGCAATGGCTGGTAATGTTAATCACAGAATCATAAAACATCCTGAGTTGGAAGGGATCCACAAGGATCATTGAGTCCTGCACAGGACCATCCCTAAGAGTCACCTCCTGTGCCCCAGAGGATGATCCAAACCCTTCTGGAGCTCTGGCAGCCTTGGTGCTGTGCCCACTGCCCTGGGGAGCCTGTTCAGTGCCAACCACCCTCTGGGGGAGGTACCTTTTCCTGAGATCCAACCTAAAACTCTCCTGACCCAGTTCCAGCCCTTCCCAAGGGTCCTGTCACTGGTGACAGAGATCAGTACCTGTCCCAAACTTTTAAAATGAAGCCATGTACTGACGGTGAATTGGGACGGTGGTTAAAATACAGGAGTCAGCATCTGGAGGGAAACTTATCTTTAGATCAGTAGATCTACCTGACAGCAGAGCTCCAATGTGCTGTCTCAGGACATGTGCACACAGGTTTTGCGAGCAGTGACAGACATGAAAACGAGCTGTTTGTCGTGTTTGGTGTAACCAAACAATTCCATGGGTCCAGGGAGATGTGCTGGCTGATTGTGGACATTGGAATTTCTGCTGGGTCGCTGCTCTCTAGTACCTGTGATGTCCAACAGAGCTGTGGCAGGTAATGGAGACAAGGAGTTGGGAATGGCTTCCAGAGCTCCAGACAGATGGCTCAGTGAAACACAAGCCTGCAGCTCACTCTGGAATACTTTTACATCTCTGGTGGGAGGCTCCAGGCAGCTTAAGAGAATCCCAAATACGGCAGGATGCTGTAGGAGTGTGCTTTATATTCCCCATTTGGTAAGAGCTTTAAGGAAAACTATTCCTGGGTAAGAGGCACATCCCTTCTCCAGGTGCACCTTCCTTCTTGAGGCGAGACATGAGCTGAGCGGCACAATCAGGTTTTCTTAGAATGAGAATAAGCAGTAATTTTAGCAAATGGAAGTACTTATGTAAGGATTGGGTTCGTAATTTGCACCTAGCTGTGTGCCTGCGATGAAAAATGGATCATATTTCCTGCCTAAATAGCTGAGACCTGTCAGGTGGCAGCTTTTTGTCTGAAGAGAGGAGCTGGATCTTCACCTATGAGCCTGTTCCCTGATGAGGAGTGGTTATAGATTATGCAGTTGAGAACAGACTATAGGAAATAGCTGACATTTTTTGTCTGTCTTTAAACTCCTGCAGACTTTTGAACAAGGGACTTTCGGAGTTGCTTTGTGAGCCTTCTGTGAGATCCAGCTGTACTTACTCTGAGAGATAGGGATGAGTGTCTGATTGAAACATCGTGTGTTTTTCATCTGGGCAGAAAGCAGCTGCCCCACAAGACTGGAACTGTGGCTGCCCCTGGATCCCTGGAAGTGTCCGAGGTCAGGTTGGGTTGGGGCTTGGAGCAACCTGGGCTGGTGGAAGGTGCCCCTGCCCATGGCAAGGGTTGGAATGAGATGGGCTTTAAGTTCCCTTCAAACCCAGACCATTCTTTTCCATGAATATGTGTAAAAACAGCCCTGGAGACTATCCCATGCTTGTCAGCCAAGACAGACCCAGTGGAAGGGGTCTCTGGCTGATGTCTGATTAAAGGTGAGAACAGGAGAAAACAAGGCTCCATCCCTGGAGTACAGTTCACAGCTGGATGTATTTGATGGATGTTTTGTGGCAGGTCTGAGTCTGGAGAGAATGGACAGGTAAATCTGAACTACTGGAGGTGCAGTGCAAGCTGTGCTGGGCCTGCAGGGAAAGAGGAAGGGGCAGCGGTGGTGTGAGCTACTTCATCTGTGAGGCAACAAATAATACCGAGGGTAATTGCATTGAGTAACTTGTGTTAGCTGCAGCAAGTGTATTTCATGGAATAACGAAGTTGAGAAAACTGTCTAAGATCATCAGGTAATTCTTCCAGCACTGTCAAGGCCACCACTGACCCACGTCCCCAGGTGTCACATCCACAAGGCTTTTAAATCCCTCCAGGGCTGGGGACTCCATCACTGCCCTGGGCAGCTGTGCTAGGGCTGGACAACCCTTTCCGTGAGATTTTCCCCAGTACCCAATCTAAATCTCTCCTGGTGTAACTTGAGGCTGTTCCCTCTCCTCCTGTCCCTGTTCCCTGGGAGCAGAGCCCGACCCCCCCCCGGCTCCCCCCTCCTGTCAGGGATTGCAGAGCCAGAAGGTCCCCCCTGAGCCTCCTTTCCTCCAGGATGAGCCCCCCCAGCTCCCTCAGCTGCTCCTGGAGCTCCAGCCCCTTCCCAGCTCCGTTCCCTTCCCTGCACACGCTCCAGCCCCGCAGTGTCTCTGAGGGGCCCAGAACTGGACCCAGCACTGCTGGTGCCTCAGCCGTGCCCCGCGCAGGGGTCTGTCCCTGCTGGTGCAGTGCCCACACGGCCGCTGTGCCCACCCGGCCGCTGCCACCCCCCGGGGCCCGCTCTCCCCTCGGCCCAGCGGGGCCGTCCCGCGGCTCCTCCCGGCGGGGCCGGGCCAGGCCGGCGGGGGCGGCCCCGGCCGCTTTGGCGCCAAGACCCGCCATGGAGCCGGAGCGGCTGCGGCGCCGCCTCAGCGCCGCGTTCCGCCTGCGGGGGCTCCTGCTGCGGCCGTGAGTACCGCGGGCAGCCCCGCTGCCCCCTCCGGTGCCCGCTCCGCCCGCCGGCATCGTCCCCCGGCGGGGCTCAGGCCCGGGGGGCCGGGGCTGTGAGATGAGGTCGGGGCAGCTCCGCGCCCCCCCGCGTCCCCTCCTCGGGACGGGAGGATGCCTTTCCCCCCTCTTCATCTCCCCTCTGGAACCTCCTCCAAAGCCCCGTTGTTTTGCCTTTCCTGCTGCCGTGGGTCTCTTCCATCCCTCCCTCTCTCCCCGACCCGCTGCAGCGCCCGCCGTGGGTTCCACCAAAGACCTGCCCGCGTCCCCCCTCGGAGCCCTCCCTGATGCTGGGTGTGTGGTTGGGTTGTGTTCCCCGATGCTCTCTGCCTGGCGACTCTGGGAGTTCTTTCCCAAGTTGCACTTGCCAGTCCCGTGTTCAGCATCCCTTGCTAGAAGAAGAAATAGTACTTCCAAAGGAGAAAATGGCATTCTCAAAGACAGAAATGGTATTTCCAAGGGAGAAAATGGCATTTCCAAAGGCAGGAATGGTATATTTTCAAATATAATAGTGTGTATTATTTAGAGATGGCAAGTCAAATTAAAAGTGGTTCCTGCTTGCAGTGGAAGGTGTCATGATTTAAAGGGCAGCCGGGGGCTCCATCGCTCCTATTTTCCCTTTCTAGCTCATGTGTTAATATTAGTTCCATTTTGCTTGTGTTGTGGATGGGATGGGATTATTTTGGACAGCGTCCTGGCACTTTCATTAGCGAGGAGTCCAAGTCCAGAACTCCAGACTCCAGGGTTCTATGAACCGAGACATTTTGAAGATCAGGCTGATAACCAAAACACCACTTTGGTTGTTGGCCAGCAGATGACATTGATAAGAAAATTGTCATCTTTAACTGCAAGACTGTAGTCTAAGGATAAGTGAAGAAACAGATTTCTAATTTCTGTGTTATTTAGAATTAAAATAATTCCAATCCCAGAGATACTGATAAGCTGGAAAGGGTCCTGCAGGGGCTGTTAAGGTGGTCATGGGTTGGAAGCTGTGGTGTGTAAGGGAAGTAGGAAGAGCAGTGCTGCATCCAGGTCTGGGGCTTCCAACATCAGAAGGATGTAGAGCTACTGGAAAAAGTCCAGAGGAGGCCACGGGGATGCTGCCAGGGCTGGAGCCCCTCTGCTCTGGAGCCAGGCTGGGAGAGCTGGGGGGGGTTCCCCTGGAGAAGAGAAGGATCCAGGGAGACCTGAAAGCCCCTTGCAGGGCCTAAAGGGGCTCCAGGAGAGCTGGAGAGGGACTGGGGACAAGGGATGAAGGGACAGGACACAGGGAATGGCTCACTGGAGATACTCAAGGCTTGGCTCAGTGGGATCCTGCTTTCAGGAGGAGGTTGGACCAGATAGTCTCCAGAGGTCACCTCCAACATGGGCTTAAATGTATGGAGCTGAGATTCTCCACATCCACTTCTTGTCCTCGATGTTTTCAATCCCAATGAGTTTTTTTTTTCTTTGACATAAACTAGTGCACTATTACCAGTTCTAATTATTTCTACTTTTTGTAAACCACAAAGTGATGATGTGCACAGCTGCCAAAATCAGCGCTGCTTGTATAAACTCTGGAATAATTATTGTTTTTTGTTCTTTCTCCATTGGAATTAGGGATGCTCTGAAGTATCTTGCTGAAACTTTTCAGTCCATCAGTGAAGTAGAACTTGAGGATGTAATTGAAAATGTCA